GGGGATTTTTGGGTCAAATTGGGGGAGGAGACCATTAGGATGGGATGAGGGCGTCAAGGAGAGACTGTGGGTCAAGTTAGGGGGAGATTTTGGGTTAAACCGAGGGGTTTTGGGGGCGATTTTGAGGCCAAACTCTCCTTATTTCCGTGTTTCAAGACAAAACCATCATCATGTGGAAGCTGACGCGCGACGAGACCAACTACGGGATCCCGCAGCGCGCCCTGCGCGGCCACTCGCACTTCGTCAGCGACGTCGTCATCTCGTCGGACGGGCAGTTCGCCCTCTCGGGCTCCTGGGACGGCACCCTGCGCCTCTGGGACCTCACCACGTGAGCCCTTCGCACCCTTTTTTACCTTTTTTCCTCATTTTGAGCGATTTTCGGGCGAGTTTTCCTCAGTTTCTTCCTCTCCCGATGATTAAACCTGACACCAAGTCGACCGATCCGCCGGGATCTGAAGACAAACGTCCTGCAATTATGAGGAGAGAGGAGAAAAATCGTTTCTTTTCGGTTATTTTGGGCTAAAACTCTTCTTTTTGGGACATTTTGGGCGGTGTATCTGGGAGAAGGAGATTAAACTTTTCCCCGTTCCCTCAATCCGTCTCCAAAATGATTTTTTGAAGGAAAGAAAGGAAATAATGCGTTTCCCTGAGCTCCCAAAGTGATTTTTCCTTCAAATTCTTGAGTTTTCCCTTTAGTTCTTCTCTAAAATTCTGATTTTTGAAGAAAAAAGCAGAAGAATCACCTTTGTAGGCCATCCTGTAGGTGTTTTCCCTCCAAATATTTTAATTTTTCCCTTAGTCCTTCCCCCAAACTCTTCATTTTGGAGAAAAAAAATGGAAATACTATGTTTGTAGACCATCCTGTAGGTATTTTCCCTCCAAATGTTTGAATTTTTCCCTCAGTTCTGCCCTAAACTTCATCATTTTGAAGAAAAAAATGGAAATACCAACTTTGCAGACTATCCTGTAGGTATTTTCCCTCCAAATGTTTGAATTTTTCCCTCAGTTCTGCCCTAAAATTCATCATTTTGAAGAAAAAAATGGAAGTATCAACTTTGTAGACCATCCTGTAGGTGTTTTCCCTTCAAATATATTAATTTTTCCCTCAGTTCTTGCCTAAAATTCATCATTTTGAAGGAAAAAATGGAAGTATCAACTTTGTAGACCATCCTGTAGGTCTTTTTCCTCCAAATATTTTAATTTTTCCCTCAGTGTTTTTGGAAAAAACGTTCATTTTGGAGCCACCTCCTCTCCCTGAAGCGCATAATCCACTCTGTGGTTATTTTCCTTCAAAATATTTGAATTTTTCCCTCAGTTCTACCATTTATTTTTGTCTCCAAAATGAAGAACTTTGGGTAAGTGTCGCCTTTTCCTGATCCTTGTAGACCATCCTGTAGGTCTTTTTCCTCCAAATATTTGAATGTTTCCCTCAGTTCTTGCCTAAAATTCATCATTTTGAAGAAAAAAATGGAAATATCAACTTGGCAGGCTATACTGGAGGTCTTTTTCCTCCAAATGTTTGAATTTTTCCCTCAGTTCTGCCCTAAAATTCATCATTTTGAAGAAAAAAATGGAAATATCAACTTGGCAGGCTATACTGGAGGTCTTTTTCCTCCAAATGTTTGAATTTTTCCCTCAGTTCTGCCCTAAAATTCATCATTTTGAAGGAAAAAATGGAAGTATCAACTTTGTAGACCATCCTGTAGGTATTTTTGTTCCAAATATTTTAATTTTTCCCTCAGTTTTTGGGGAGAACCATTCATTTTGGAGCCACCCCCTCTCCCTGAAGCGCTTAATCCACTCTGTGGTCATTTTTCCTCCAAAAATTTGAATTTTTTGTCGTTTTTCTCGCCTCCCCCAGCGGCACGACCACGCGTCGCTTCGTGGGCCACACCAAGGACGTGCTGAGCGTCGCCTTCTCCTCCGACAACCGGCAGATCGTGTCGGGCTCCCGCGACAAGACCATCAAGCTCTGGAACACGCTGGGCGTCTGCAAGTACACCGTGCAGGTCGGCCGCCCTCTC